CACTGGCTGAGTTACTGTCTCTTGTTTCATTTTGATTGATCAATAAATACATCACAGCAAACTGCAGTGCTTATGCAAACCTGTTTCTGATTGGTATATGGTGATGGAAATGTACATACACACACTCTACATATATTATTATTTAGCCAAATAATCAAACTCATCATATAGTTGAAGTTAAAAAAGAACATCTACAAACGGGTGGAAAAGATCAAACAAAGTATTTAAATATTCACAAGCTCAAACAAAGTATTTACACATAAGCTAAACTAGAGGAACACCCTAATCCAGAGATCCGGAGAGAAAAAGAGAAAGAGAAGCTCAAACAAACCACACCTACTGACAGCCTAAGGCACAAGAGGAGAGGGAGAGACCCAGCACTGCCATTGACTGTGGTTACTCTGAACAGCCTGCATGTAAATTATAACATTATATTTTAATATATTTCTCACCTTTTCCCTGATGGTCTGAATAAGTCACTAAATGTTTCGCTAGTCCCTTTTTAGAAATAAAGATGCTAAGAGGGTTGGAACAGTCCAGCAAGAAAGTTGCCATGTCGTCGACACTTGCTCTCTATGGTTGATTTTATGCGTGTGTTAGCATGTGTGTGACGTAGAGCTTGTGCCCATGCCACAGGTGAAACTAAAGACTCACCAGTAACCCAAAATATGTAAGGAAGTGGCATCACTGGGATTGAGCTTGATGGCTCTCTAGGAAAAAGCACAAGTTCCACTTCAGAATACAGATAAATGTGATACAGTGATAATATGACACTGACCCGAATGTCCTCTCACCTCTAGATGTTCCCTGATGATGTAGGAATTTCCAATTTTCACCTTCACTCCCTCGTAATCCCCGATATCACTGAGACATACTGCGTACCACTGTGTGAGGAGGGGAAGAATGTGGAGAGTTTGGACCTTTTTAATATCTAATTAAAAGTTCTTTTAAAAGAAACTGTACTGTGCCGTAATGGGTTAGTAAACTTGGAAACATCAAGTGTAAATGCGTGCTAAAGGTTTGACGGATTTGTGGTTTCTCTGAGAAACCTGTTGGAGCTGAAACAAAAGTGGCTCCTCAGTGAGACCAACGTCTTACTTTGTGTGCTGAGAAATTCTTGTCATCTTTCTCCAGTGCCTTCTTCGCATATTCGAAGGCCTCAAACACCAGCTGCTTCTTCCGCCCGGCCTCCATGTTGGGCAGGAGGGACAGGTCCCGAGACGCACGGGCCAGCCTCCACAGAAAGTCTGCATCGTTACTGGACGGACACACAACCACTCCCATGACGTTATACATATATATGTGACAAATTAATTATTCATTATTGTCCACTCTGATGTTATAGATGCAGTATTCGTGGAAACAAAGTCAGAACTTGAGCTCATTATGTGTATAAATGCTTGACTTTGGTGACCTCTGGTGGTAGTATCACAAAAAGGAACTGGTAGATGTACTCAGCCGCAAAAACAATAAGCAGGGATAAAAATATCACATAAAAAACACAATGCACCCAAACAGGACACATAAACTTCTAGTGGCAACAGAGAAGAGCTGCTTATGGCCGCAGTTCGTTTGAACTCTCTCCTTACCTGTCCTTGTACTGCAGCAGCAGCTGGTACAGCTTCTCTGACTCTGCACTGCTGTACAGGTAGTCAGCCTGCTCCAACACCTCCTCTGCTCAGACACACAACACAACAGCAAATTCACTCAGACATACGCTCATTTATTAGACTACACCTCAACTCTCTCTCTTTCCATTTCCCTTCACGCTGCCCCTAAAAGTTGCCATCGAAAGACAGTTTATTAATGACATGCTGATTAGGATTGCAACGAATACATCCACAAAAAAAACAACACATTCGATCCGATTTCTCACATCTGGCACACCAAATACCTTTTTCCAAAGCGTGGACCACGGCTGAACTCTGCACTCTGTGATAAGCTTCATAACCCAGACAGGACAGCGTTGGGATCCCCAGGAGGAATGCAGCTCTTCCAGTCTGCACACAAGAAAGGAAATGACAAAAACACACACAAATGAACTAATTCAAGAGACTACTTCAGTTAGAAAGAGAGTTTCAAACATAACAAAGCATGCCTGGCTGCTGGCCATTATTCACAGTGTCAGCTGAACCAAGGTAACCTGACACAGGTCACTGCACACTTGAAACGGACCATTTAGATAGGATTTTAGCACTTAAACTAGAGTTTAGGTAAATTACACACAGTCATCCTCATCTTTATCATCACTAGACACCTGTTAAACTTTAACAGCTAAGCAGCTTTCTGATAGGACTTAAGCCCTGCTGACCTTTTACCTCCATTCGCTTGTACAATCGCGCCCCTGTTCTTCTAAAGCGTAAATAATCCATGAACCTGGGCATGTAGGCAGGTAACAGTGAGCAGTCCCATGCAGGACAACTACACCGTCCCCTGAGTGAGAATAACACGAGTCGTTACTTACAGTCAGAGCCGTGGCAGTCCTCCTTACAGCGGCCCTGTAAAAGCTGCTGGCCCCTCTGGTTCGGATGCTTTTGGCCCCAGATGTTGACAGTAAAGTGCTCACACAGCGCCGCAGCACTACCCCGGCCATCCTGCCAAAGGTCCAAACGCAAAGTGACTAAAGGAATTAGTGCGACGGCGTCACAAACTGAGGGGGCCGTTCGCAAACACAAACAGGGAGCATTCAAGAGTACACACACAAGACGTTGCTAAAGGTCAATGATTGGGCATGTTAGTCTCGTGACTAACGCGCGCACGTTATATTTTATTGTTAGATTTTAACATATATTTATCTTTTTGTTTTAAATCTTGAATCTGTATCATTTCTATTTTTCTATTTTTCTTATTCCTATTTTTTTTAATTAGTTAATTTAATTAGTGAACATACCTCACTGCATTTCATATACACTTTGTGTATGCGACAAACAGACCTTTAAAACATTTTTATTATCTTTTAAAAAGACCATAAGGCAGTTTGCAAAGCCAAATTAAAACAGCAGTTTAACTAAAGCGATGCTTTTTTTTGTTTTTCATCAGCTAGAAATAAGTTTGAAGGCAGAAACAGCACAATAATAAGCTCTAGATCATCTATCATACATGTTACAGCATACAGCTAATTAATTGGTTTCTTGAATGCACCCCGGAGAAATGTGTTCTCTATAGGCCGTCGATAGGAAACAAAAACTCGCGAGGGTTCCGTCGTACTTTTACATCGGTTAGTGTACTGAGCACTGCAGTGTTACCGCAATGTGTAGTTTTAGTACGACTGTATCAGACACACACAAACAGGTTGTCTAACTTTATCAACAAGCAGAGAAAATCGTCTGCGAGTTTAGCTAAAGAAGGTAGCTATTACGTTAACTTAGCTACGTTAGCCAGCTGGGCCCCGCGGCCCCGCCCCTCAGTTGTTCAGCTGTTCTTGTCACATAAACGTCACCTGTTCACGTACGACCAGAGGCAGGACAAATGTTTATATTTTTCAACAACTAACTAAACAGGTAAATATGGCTCAACAACTAATAACTGGTATGAAGAAACATTTTATGTGTATGTTTTAGTTGTAGTGCTCCAGGCATTGCCACACCCACCTAACGGTCACTGGTGCCCGCTGGCATGTCTCAACGTTAGCATTTGTAGTAATTAAAGTATTTAAAGTTAAAGTTATAGTTCAAGTTTTCCTCTATGTCATTATCGTTATACATTTTTTTAATTGATAACTCTATTTAGTGTTAATACTGGGTCTACACATACGGTTGCGGTCTGTTAAAGGGGCTATAATAACTGTTAGAAACAATAATGAGACCGTTGGTAGCCAATAACAACCTGTTATCAGTCGACAGCGATAACAGGTTGTTATTGGCTACCGTTAGTAATACTAACACGTGTATTATCACTGATAATTATCACTGATAATACATACTATATGTGGTTGTGTTACTAACACAAAGTGATGGAAGAAGTATTATTACAGAGTATTTGTTTAAAAGTACCAATACCATGATGTAAAAATACTCTTTATCACCTCCTGTAAGTCCTGTAGTTTGAGTCAAAGTACTTTAATATAAAGAATCAGTAAAAGCAGTGGAGGAGAAGTATAAAAAAAGGAAATATTTAAGTACAAATAGCTCCAAAGTACAGTGTACTTGAGTAAATGTACCACCCTCACCTCTGAATATTCTCAATATTTGTGATTATGATTATGTGTGGTGCATCTATGTGGTTATCTTAGTACAACAAGCTGCCATGGCCTCAGGCGGGGCCCCGGTGCCAGGGCCCTTACATATTGCCACCAAGGTGGAGCTGACCATCTCCTGTGAGAACCTCATGGACATGGACATCTTCTCTAAGTCGGACCCTCTGTGTGCCCTGTACATCAACACTTCAGGCTCCCAGTGGTATGAGGTCTGTACTGGGTCACTCACGGGAAGAGAGGAGTTAAAAATCATCATGTTCAAGTTATGTGTGTGAGTTAGGGCCTTAGTTTGAATAAGCAGTTGATATCCTTTACACCACAGACGTACCTGCATGTGTTATTGGCACACTAGTTGATGTTCTCTCTTGTATATTTCCACACATGGATTTGGCTTCTCATTAGATTGGGTTGTTTTTTTGTGACTCAGTTTGGCCGCACAGAGATGATCCTGAACTGCCTGAATCCGAAGTTTGCCAAGAAGTTTATCATCGACTACTATTTCGAGATGGTGCAGAGGCTGAAGTTTTGCGTGTACGATATTGACAATGACACCTATGACCTGAGTGATGACGATTTCCTGGGGGAGCTTGAATGCACCCTAGGCCAGGTGAGCCACAGTTTGTACAGCCTTTAAAAGAAAACGCTGGTTGTTCCTCCACCTTTTCGCTGTTCTGTGACACCGTCAGTGTTTGTGTCCAGATTGTTTCTAACAGGCAAATGACTCGACCGTTGTTGCTGAAGGACAAGAGGCCTGCAGGTCATGGGACCATCACAGTAAGTGGACGCTTTGTCTCGTTTAATGCCTCAGGACAGAGGACAAGCTTGTTTCATGCCTCAAACATGAACTCCATGCCACTGTGTGTGGTCAAAACAGGCATGTAGACATTTTTTAAAATCTGTTTTTATAAGGTTTTAGATGCTTTTTGGAATCGTGATACTTTACCAAGATTTACAGGATCCTAGCGATGTTTGTTGAAGGAGATCACTCTGTGCCAGATAGTCATAAAACACCACCATCTTGCTAGAATTAGACACACAAGTGCATCTTGTGTTGGTTATGGTGACCTGTGATGTCTCTCTCTTCAGCATCATATCATTCTGAGGGGTCACATCTGGGTTAGAAAACACAAACACGCTTTGTGCTGTTTACTGATGTGAATTCACGATGTCTGCATTTGAAAAGGCAAAAAAAAATGCAAGCATTTATCTCTGCCACGTGGCCCAACGTACAGAATTGCCAAAATCTTACAGATTCAATTTATTTATTATATTTTTTTAAATAGATCTACGCTGAAGAAATAACAGACACCAGAGTGGCAAACTTTGAGGTATCAGCCCGCAGGCTGGACAAAAAGGTACTGATGGTCATTTTAAACATTCAGGTCTGACATTTTATTGATTATTTTTACTGCCTTTTGATTTGCTCTTAATATCTTCAAGTACTGTAAATTATTAATTGGATGTGTTTGTCCAGTATTTGTGGTGGTCCGACCCTTTCCTGGAATTCTACAAGCAGACAGAAACTGGATGGCAGCTGGCTCACCGGACAGAGGTACACACATATTTACCAGCTGCTCATCCCTCTGCCTGCATCGTATTATTGACTCATCATCACATGTTCATGTAGGTGGTAAAAAACAATCTAAACCCGACATGGAGACCCTTCCGCATCTCACTGCGATCACTCTGTGGAGGAAATGTGGAGAAATGTATAAAGGTATTTTTTTTTTTTTTTATTTGTTTGTGTCAGTTAAATAAATTGTAGTCCATTAACCCCCCCACCCCTAAGTTGTGAAAACTGTATATTGTTTGCTCCTTTTGATTTATTTTTAGATCCTCCTGATTGATGATGCTACTCTAACGTACTAATGATTCCTCCCTTGTAATTGCATTTTCTTTTCATCTTACAATGCTCCCAAACTTAAAGCAAGAGGGTGCTTGCGACCCAGCTGGATAAGCAATGTGTGTATGCATGCGCAGTTTGTGACATCACTACGTAAAGGTGTGCATTTTTGCTCTGTTCTTTTTTTACTCAGTTGAGCTACTCTCTTTGCATGTACTGCATTTACATGGATAACTGAGAGTAAAATATGACTGATTATTTGTTCCTGTGAGGTGAGGTGTGACCTTTGTATCTTATTGGGGTTAGACTTATTAAATATTATTGGACAATTGATAAGATAAAGCTTCCTTTCTGACCACAGACAGTTTTAATTATGTTTATATTCCCTCCATGACCAGAGAGTCTTTACCTAACAAGCATGTCTCAGCACTTATTTATTAATAACTAGCAAATGTTAGTAATGGCTTTAGACATCAACCTTAATTTATTCATCCTGTCCTTATACTTACTTTACCGTCTCTGAACTTCTTATGTGTTGGCTTTTATTTTGTCACCCAGTACAGGAAGTCTCTTTTTCTGTCTTCAGGTTGACTGTTATGACCATCACTTCAGCGGCTCCCATGAGCTTATTGGGAGCTTTAAAACCACACTTGCGGAGATGCAAATAGGAACGCATATTTCCCCGGTGAGACTTTTGTGTGTGTGTGTGTTTGGTTCCAGCTCTGCCACTAAAGAACCTGTTATTTTAATTTTAACTGGCACAAATGTGACTCGTGTTCTCGCTTGCAGGTTGAGTTTGAGTGCATTAACCCAAAAAAGTTAACGAAGAAGAACTATAAAAACTCTGGGGTCATTTGCATCAAGCAATGCCAGGTAACGATTTAGAAATCAGGAAATGTAATTTTACTCTACTTTGATTTCAGCACATTTTATCTGACCTACTGCATTGGTACATCTTTTCATTAATGTCTGGCAAACAGAAATAACACTGTTAATGCAATGTTTACCTTCTAAGGTGGTGAAGGAGTTAACCTTCCTGGATTATATTATGGGGGGTTGTCAAATCAACTTCACAGTGAGTTTGAAATTATAGACGCTATCACTACTCTTAACTTTTATTTATTTTTATTATTTAAGTTTTTATGTTTTATTTAATTTATTTTAATTAACCTAAAATTAATTCTCCCCGACCGTGGCCAGATTGCCATTGACTTCACAGGCTCTAACGGGGATCCCAGCACTCCCCAGTCCCTCCACTATATAAACCCTGAAGGCTATAATGAATACCTGACAGCCATCTGGGCAGTGGGTAATGTCATCCAGGACTATGACAGGTAAATAAAAGTAAACAGACATGAGATCTGCTAAAAAAAATTAAAAAAAAAAAAAAAGCCTCCTGAAAAGTCTTCATAAGCTAGATATTTGCCTAAATAAAATAAAAAATGTAGAATATTTCCATTTGGTTACTTTCTATATTTACATCAAGCCAGTCAGATGTAATGTAACTTTTCATTTTCATTTCATTCATTTTCTAACTTCTGATTTTCTAAACGTTTGTTTGCTTGCAGTGCTTACACACTAGAGGACTTAGTTTTGCAGCTTTGATCTACTGACTGATGTGCCTTGTTTTACCTTCATACCTTCATTTTTTCTGTCTTTCTGTGTAGTAACAAGATGTTTCCTGTCTTTGGTTTTGGAGCCCAGGTCCCTCCTTCCTGGCAGGTGTGAAAAAATCCCAAACTTTACATCAGCTTTCTTTTATTGGACAACGGCCACTACCACCCAATTTACCATCTATGGAGTTTCTGAAAATATTAATAAGCTGTACAAAAGGAGCTTCACTATACAATGACAATATACCAAATCAACATACATACAAAATAAACACACGAACATATTAATAGGTGGAACGAATTGTATCTTCTGTGCATGCAATAACCTTTCGAGCACTCGACATGCAATCATTACATTGTGATGAAAAATGCAGCCTCAAGATATATATATATATATATTGATTTTCTTTTTTCTCTCTCTGGGCAATCCGTGGCTCCGTAGATTCCTGCACAGCACAATGTGTACGGTTATCTTTCCACACCTATGTATAATTGCACACACTCAAAATCAGTTCAACAGCCAAATCAGGGTTAGTTCAAAGATATGTGATAGTTCCAGTTCAAGAGTGATTTTATCCGTATATTTTGTCATTTACCTGCCTGGTAGTGTATTGTACTATTAAAACTGCTTCATTATTGGTCTCTTTGAGATTTGATTTTGTATCAGCAGCCAGTAAATTACTAATAAACTACAGGTTCCTGACAAGATAAACATTGAAGGACATAGGAACAATGTGACAAAGTTGATTGTGTTTTTCTGACGCATTCCATTTTTAAATTCAGATGTTGGTGTAACATTGTCATGGACTATAGTCTAAAGCTTTTATATAAATATGAATCTATCTATGAATCTTGCTTTCAGGTTTCCCATCAGTTTCCTGTCAATTTCAACCCAGCAAATCCATTCTGTGCAGGTAAGTCAAAGACCGTGTTTGGCTGTTAAAACTTGCTCAACTACGCTGCATTGATGCTACCTTATGCTCGTGTATGTGTGTGTGTTGTAGGCATAGAGGGCGTGGTGCATGCATACCGGCAGTGTCTACCTCAGCTGAAGCTCTGGGGCCCCACCAACTTCGCTCCCATCATCAACCATGTAGCCTGCTTCGCCAAACAAGCTCTCCGCCAAAATATGGCCTCAGTAAGTAGTGAATTATTAAGTTTATTCAGTTTTCAATTTGAATGTTGCTTCTATCAAAACATATTAGATTTATTGTGACAAATCTAATTTATAAATAGATAAACATACTGTTGCTTAGTTAAATTTCCCATGACAAAATTCAGCAATAAAAAGTGATGTTGTTCAGTGTAATGATGTATAAGATGCGTCCTAATGGTTAAGTCACTAATGCTGTCAAATATAAAGCCAAACAAACTGGAAATTTGAACAATAATATAAAATCTTTTTCAAACAAACTAGGAATAAGATCATATTTTAAGATCACATTGAAACAAACTTCCTGTTGTCTGATCTGTGTTCTCTCTCCGTCTGCAGCAATACTTTGTGCTGCTCATCATCACAGATGGCGTGATCACAGACATGGACCAGACACGCTCCGCTATTGTAGAGGCCTCTCGTCTGCCCATGTCGATCATCATAGTGGGTGTGGGCGGGGCAGACTTCAGCGCAATGGAGTTCCTTGACAGTGATGACAAACTGCTGTGTTCGCCCAACGGTGATGTCGCCTCGAGAGACATCGTCCAGTTTGTGCCCTTCAGAGATTTCCAGGTAAGCAGCAGCATATATATATACACCTTTATGCTTCTGTAACAGAGTTACTGTATACAGTATGTGGGATATTTCTTTGTCCAAGAGTAGTTCATAATAATGTATAATAATGTGTATCACATTTCAGTTGTATGTTCATTTTTTCAATTCCCCCTGCTGCCCCTCTGCTCTTCATATGTAACACTACCCTGCCCGCCTTCCTTCTCTCAGCCTTCCTTTGATTTCATTGGTCAGCATAAGGTGAGCACAGAACCATGGTTCAGGTTTTCTGAAGTGGGATTGTATGAGGTACGTATGCTTAGTCAGTGTATTACCTGTAGTAGATGGAAGTTGCCATGGAGCAGACAGGAGTCCTGGCACGGAAGCTAAGCAGTGCACTGCTGTGGACGGGGGATGCAGAAAAACGTTTCTCAAGCCCACCTATAAAAGGTTTACTCTATGAATTATGGGCACACAGTAGTAGTAGTAATAATATCACTTATGTTTCATGCCAGGACTCCTGTCTTCTTATCCAAACTGGGGGTGTTAATAGCCATCCACTGACTATGGATAAATACCTCATCCAACCTCACTTCAAAAAACACAAACTGACCCTTTAGTGTTAGCTAGCATTGTCCCAAACATGATTAAGACTAGCTCTTATTCTTGTAACATTGTCATTGCAGGGAAATAGCGTGGCCCTTGCCCAGAGCGTCCTGGCGGAGCTGCCTGATCAAGTGTCTTCCTTCTTCAATTCTTACAAGCTGAAACCCCCTAATATGTTAAATGTTTCTGGCCCGTCCTAGAAAGGTTGGTTGAATGAACCTAAATACCTCATATTTACTGCTTATGCATTTACTGAACGGAATGGCACAAATCAATGCCTATAAATGAATGTGGATGAAAAAGAAAATAATAAAAACACATAATTAACGTCAAATCCGTAACTGTATGTTTGCTTTTAAATTTGATTTGAGTTAATTAAAAGTACATAAAATAAGTGTCAGTATGACCAAGACACATGATAGCTTTGTATAGTGCATGATAACACCAAGCAATGAGAGCAATCAGAGCTATCCACTACAAATGTAACCTCTAACATGTATGGCTTTGTTGTTATTATCTCTTATTATTTCTTTGTTGTTATTATCTCTTATTATTTCTTTGTTGTTATTATTTCTTGTGGGGTTTTTTTTCTGTCTTTTCTCTTTTCTCTGCTGTTATTTTGCACAATCAGTGTTGTAACCCATATTTCACAAGTTTCGTGTCTTAATGTTGGAAACGTGAGAAATCAGTGGGCTCATATAGTGTGTGTTGTGTTTTTGTCTGTCCAGGCAGTGAGCTGGGAAAGGGTCGTGGTCAGACGTTGGAAAAGGTTGCGTCAGCAGCACCGCCGCCATCACACTAATGTGATACTGTTCTTTCAGACCTGGTTGACACAAGTACTGGTTGCTTCTGTACATGAGAACAGTTTAATTTTTGTATAAGACGATGTGATTTGAGCATGATGCTTAATTTACTAAGTTTGAGCTTTGCCATGACACTACATGGTGACTGAATTAAAGGAAATGTGAGTTATAAATGACATATACAGCTGCTTGCTGCCCCTCCCTCTGACTGTGGCATTACTCTGATAAAGGGAACATTATGTCACAATGGTAGACATACGTTACACCACAGTCCAATAAACTATCTAGCTTTCCTACTAAATATATTTCACACTGTATGGAACTGCCAATAAAACTAACATACTACTACTACAATCAAATGAATGTGTATTTGTAGTCTCTGTAGACTTATGATTTCAGCTTTGGAACAGGGGGATCTGGATGTGTCCACGCCCACAGCACTGAACCCCAGTTCTCCTCAGTGCTCATCATGGTGGATGATCTGGGGGATATGTATGCTCTGTTGATGCTCTCATGTCTCATGACTATTACAGCTTTGACCAAATAACTGGTGTTAAATCCAGAGTGGAGGCTTCTGGGAATTGTAGGCCTTTGCATAATTGCTTAACTCTCAAAGTGTACGCAAAGTCTCTCCAAATCTGTGATATTAAATCAAATATCCAACTGTATGTTCTATACACAGAGCGATGTGTATATATAACTTATATATATATATATATAACGTTATGTATATAAAGTTAGCTCCTCTGTTCCTTTAACTGTAAACGAGCACCCTGGGCGCTAGCAGGGGGCACCGCCCACTGCAGCTAGCTTCTGTTTAACGCTGCTATTACGACCATAAACAGCACAAACAGCTGACTAACAAGACTACAAGGTAGGACGAGTCAAGACTGCTTTTGACATTATATTTTCTCCGTCAAAATAAACACAGAGATAAAGGTTTTATTCGTTACTAACTTGAGTGTGCGTGACCGAAATCTTGTAACGTTAACGTACGTAGGCGTTAGCTAACTTAGTTCAAGTTAACGTTATATAAAGATTAAAATATAAATGAATATAAATACTTGTAACTTTTTATATGTTTGAGTGGCAGTAAGGCGTAAGTTAACGTTAGTAACCTTAGTAACGTTACTAACGTTAGTAACCTTAGTAACATTAACTAACGTTAACGTTACGTTATAAATTGGTCCGTTAGTTTTCGTTACTTTAACGGTTGCGCTGATGTCTGTTCTCTTTAGCACAGATCCGATGAAAACACTAAATGTGTTACCTTCATTATTCTGTATTACTTTATGTATCGAAGTTACTACAGCTTCCGCTAACGCTGGCACCGTTTGCCCAACTCAGGGGTTGAATCTCCCGACGGGCTCACTGTATGGCACCGCCCTTGGCATTCAATGGGAGTACCCCGATGGAAACCCCCGATATTTCATTATATTGAAACTAAAACGAGGCTAAGTGGATCAAGTGCTGGCAGATTTTACTAAACGACCCAAATGAATCACAAATCTACTTTTCTTTGCTCATATGAGAGTTTTTTTCTGATATGAACAGCACAGAGCACTTTCATATGTGGTCATATCACACTTCATGTGACTTTATAATCACGTGGCTCACTTTAGCTTAGATATACTGTAAATGTTTCACTCTGAAACCTGACAAAAACTAAAAAAGTGACCAGCCAAACAAAAACAAAAAAATCAGATCTGATCAGAACTGAGCGCTGAGACTGACAGTGTGAACATATCCTTTAAAAATTGTTCTACACATTCGTTTCCATTAATGAACACATGTATAGCATGATGTTTTTTGCTGTGATACATTGAGTGTTGCCGTTCCTGTTTGTAAGGCTGTTTTATTTATCTGTGTATGATCGCAGTTCCTGTGCCTGAGTGTGTGTTCTCCAGGCTGTGATGGCAGCAGTGGGAGCCCAGGGGCCAAGGGCCACTGACTGTGTGACAAAGGTGGTTATGAGCGTCTCTTGTGAGAATCTGCTGGACATGGATGCATTCTCAAAGTCGGACCCTCTGTGTGTGCTTCTCATGAACACTTCAGGACCGCACTGGACGGAGGTAAGGATGTTCTGCTAACTCGTAACTGGATATTGAAGCCACTGGAAACCCACAATAGTGTTCTACCTGTTTAATTTATGGTCTTATGTGCATAATAGTAAGCATCTAAGAAGTATTAGAAATGAGTTTCAGTGCAGATTTAATATTTGTTATGCTTGTTTTTATACAGAAATTACACAATTAAAAAAATCCATGTTGGTCGTGCCACCCAAACAGGTGTTGCCCAGTTGATGACATTCTGCAAGCGACTTATTCAGACAAGTAGTGAAAGTCAAATATATTGTAATTCATTCCCATGCATGCTGCACGGCTCTGCTGCCAACAGTGCCAAGGTCTTTTCCATCTTTTAAACAGTTTGTTTGATCTCAAATATCGGCTTCAGTTTCCTGTTGGTGAAAATATTCCAAATATAGTGTATGCTCAAAGGTACAGTGTGTGACATTCAGGAGCATCTGTTGACAGAAATGGAGAAATGGGACGTGATATTCATAAATATGTTTTCATTAGTGTATAATCCTTTTATATCTACAGACACTGCAGCTTGCCTTCCTTGCATTTTTCCTATTTAAGCCACATTTCCAGAGGCTTTAAGTTCATCTTTTTTCATAGCATATGAATACTACAGGATCCAGGATTCATATCTACCCTCATCCTTAAGAAATTTGAAGTATTTCCAGTAATTGGGAGACCATTGTAAAGTCAGATACCTCCACTGTATTTGCTGTCAGTGTCAGTACCTGCTGTGAGTCTGAAAAAGTGCTTGACTCTGGATTATGTATCTGTGTTAGATTGGCCGGACGGAGAAAATCAACAACTCCCTTAATCCCAAGTTTGCCAAGACTTTTGTCATCGACTACTACTTTGAGATGGTGCAGAAGCTGAGGTTTGAAGTGTACGACATCGACAGCGAAAACTGCAGTCTGCAAGATGCTGACTTCCTGGGAGAACTGGAGTGTACCTTAGGACAGGTTAGCCCTCTGTGGTTACCATTTATCGTCACAAATGCTTATTCATCGTGTTTCTTTCTCTTCACTAGGGTTAAACACACTGGTCCTTCTTTTGAAAATTATCATTTGAAGTTGTGTTGGTTCTGTGATTCACAAAAGTGTCTTTTCTGTCCAGATTGTGTCCTCGAAGACACTTACAAGACCACTTGTCCGAAAGAACAAGACACCTGCAGGGAAAGGAACCATTACTGTGAGTTGCTTTCATTAAGATTGGCAGTGACATTTGGACTGTTTGAGGATATTTGATTCTAAGTGTGTTCTCTGGTGTATTTGCACTGTGATATTTTTAACACAACGCTGTCTCATGTTTTGCAGATATGTGCAGAAGAAAGGACAGACAACAGGGTGGTGCAATTTGAAGCTGCAGCTAGAAAACTGGATAAAAAGGTATTGATTACAATTGTACGTTTGAATTATTTTTAGGAATTCAGAAATATTGAGATATCGTTGCTCCACAGCCGCATGAGGCTCTTTAGCCCCTGTTGAAGTGAAAAATTCAGAAATAATTTAACTTTTATGAGTTTTAATGAATAGAAGAACATTCAGTGATTTTCTCCTACAAGCTTGTTGACCCTGAAGGCAACATTAAGTTTGGAAAAAAGCCTGCTGCTTTTCAGTAACACATCTATAAAAATAAAAAAAAGGCATTCTGCTAACCTTCAGCTCCCTCAATATAGAACAGTGGATGAACGACTGTAATGTATTGTTTACTTGTTTCTCTCCAGGATTTTTTTGGCAAGTCCGACCCTTTCCTGGAATTCTACAAGCAGACAGAAACTGGATGGCAACTGGCTCACAGGACAGAGGTACACATATAAAAACCTCTTTGTGTACCATGCTATCTGGGCAAGCACAGTCATAACTAGAATGCGTATTAATGTTTGCACTGAATACATTTCAATGGTCAGAGTGGTTTATAATTGCTGCTGTCATGCAGGTGGTGAAAAACAACCTAAACCCAACATGGAGACCATTCAGAATCCCTGTGCAGTTACTCTGTGGAGGTGACGTGGAGAAGTCTATAAAGGTACACACACACTCACACTGACTGCAAGGCATTGTGACTGATGATCGAGCTGCCCTTTGTCTATTTTCTGTTGTGCTGTATATGCAGGCTTTCTGTTGGGAAGGATTTTTGGGGCATTATAAAATCTAAAAGCATTTTTTTTTACCTGTTTTGGCTCATTTCAGGCTGCTGTTTAGTAAAATCCCTCCTGTCTCATCCTGGCTTTCACAGTGCTACCAAATGTGTAAATATATGTAAAAAGGTGACTGGGACTCTCAAAATGAAGGGTATATTACCTACCAATTATTAGACAAGTCGGTTTGTCTTTCAGCCGTGGATTATCTTTACTCAAGGAATAGAAATTAGAAGAAGCAGTTGTTATTTCATGCATTAATTACAATGTTTTTTTTCCGCCCATCTGTGTTGGAAATCAAACTTCTTAAATGAACATCAAAAACCCAAATGTTTGGTCATTAATTTGTTTTCATTGTCGTGTAAAACAATGGAAAGGCTGAATCATGGCCACGGTGGGAAACCTGCCTATGCTTCATGGTTTGCCTTTTCATCGTAAGAAAATACAAATAAGGAAATGTGTGTTAGCATTAGTTTATGTATGTTGTTTTTTTGTTTCCACCCTCTAACCCTGTGAAAGCACACTTGTCAGGAAGAGATGCTTTCCAGTCGACAGTGCAAGTGAGTCTACTGTCCCCACTGTGAGTGCTCTGCAGTGTCTGTGACAGGACAGGCCAAAGTCCTAGACGCACCTACATCTGTCTTAAAGGAATAAGTAGAATATTTGAGGGGTTTGGCACATTGGTCAACTTACCTGTTAAATCTGAGAGCATAGTCACCAGAGTTGCTCTGTGTCAACAGGTTGAAAAGCTTATTAATTCAAGATATGCAGATAGGTCTGATGTTAGTTAATAAGTGTACAATGTACAACCAAATTGTATTGTTGTGAACCTTCTCCCTGTATACAGGATATGAAGTTAATGTGTGATAGAAGACAGTGATCTCACAATATGTGTTGTTCACAATAAACCTGGCTCCATCAGGTATTCAGTGTTAATGTTTTTAAAACACATGACACATTTCTCTATTAATGCTAGTGGCCTGCTGTTATTCAGCACATTCATTATTTAAATCCCCTGATGAATATTACGTTATGTATCAACAAGTAAGTTAACCAATGGGACAATTTCCCAACAGGTAGACTTTTTCCGTTAAGATGGATCCCCCTTCTTTTGGTTACCCATGAGCTTTCTTAGCTTTCCATCTTGTAGACTTAAGCGTCACACAGTTTGCTCCATGCTGTGTCTCTGCCTGTTTCCTCAACACTGAAGGTACTTAGAAGATACAGTGTGCAGATTCTGAGCAGGTACTCTGTGACTCTTGCTCTAAAGGAGGCAGCGGGACCTTTAGAGGCCTTGTGTGTGTGTGTGTGTGTTCCTGTTAGATACCAGGGTGTTGCCTTACATTTGAGGCTTCCTCCCTAAAGCATGCTTTTTAGGGATGCACAATATGGATTTTCTTTCAGCTAATACGATAATTGATAATTACCTGATGTATGTCTATTTTAAAGTTCATGGCCTGTTTGTACACACCTGAGGATAATAAAGGTAAAGATGGATGATTAAATATACCATAGCTCTGTTCTAACTGTATGACATCACTATTGTTAACACAACAACAACAACAACAAAGAGTAGGTCTGACTCTTCAAATCTCTTCATTTATTTTTTCTAGTGAAGTTAATTAAAAACGTCACTAACAGACTTTGGCTTTCATAAAACATAATGCCTATCAACCAGTTGGCATAAGAATTCAAAATCACTTACTATTAATATCAGCCAATAATGTATCGGCTGTCATTTAATTCACAATCATTTATAATAATATAAATATCCCATTATCGGTTTCCCATCATTAATTCTCTGTCCTGATATCGTACATCCCTAATGCTTTTATTTCATCTGCTTTGATGTTCACAACTGACAGTTAATCTCTTAAATATAAGAACATTATTTGCTTGAATCAAAGAGAATTGACTGGATTTGTCTCTTCTCCAAACTGACTGTGTTTCCCAGGTGGACTGTTACGACTACAACAACAGCGGATCTCACGACTTTATAGGATCCTTCCAGACCACACTCTCCCAAATACAGCAGGCATCACAGACATATGCAGTAAGCTTTTCCTCTTTGTTTGTTCGTCAACAACAGAACAGATGATGTAATACAAAAGATCTGTCCCACGTCTTATATCAAGCATTTAATGAAGCCTTATGAAGGTATTTATAAACAGCGTATATACAATATGTATGTGTTATATTCCTGACGCCTGTGTGGTGTGTTTGTGCTCCTCTCAGGCCGAGTTTGAGTGCATCAATAGTAAGAAGAAACAGAAGAAGAAAGGATACAAAAACTCTGGTGTTGTCATAGTAAAAAAGTGCCAGGTACTGTGGTTTATATTCTTTTTTCTTTCAGAACTAATTGTTTTCTTGGTTTACTGTATGCATGCTCCACATGAAGTGAGTTTGAAGATGGAGAGACTTTTGCACCACCTGTGCATCTGTAAAACATTGTTTATACATTGTGTGTACAATATATTTTGTCGTGCTTTATATTGTAGCTTTAACATAATAATGGTAAATAGTTAAATGGTTTTCTCCCTCCAATATTTTTTAGATAGTAAAGGAGTATACGTTTCTGGATTACATAATGGGCGGCTGTCAGATTAACTTCACTGTGAGTACTACAGTTTGTTCTCTTTTTACTTTTAGTATTTTTTTGTAATTACATTTTATATTGAGAATTGAATGTCCTCAGGAATCGTTCATTGTCAAAGAGTTATCTGATTTGATTTTCTCCAGATTGCTATTGATTTCACCGGCTCCAACGGGGACCCCAAGTCCCCCATGTCCCTCCACTACATCAGTCCTCAGGGCTATAATGAATACCTGGCAGCTATCTGGGCTGTGGGGAATGTTATCCAGGACTATGACAGGTAAATGGCTTGTTATACAGAAAGTGTTATGTTGGTAAATAAAGTCAAATCCACCATAAATAATTTAAACATAGCGCCAGAAACACCAATAGTGAATGTTGTGTTTATGTAAACTTACTTTGACAGTATCGCCTACTTTGTTTTACTTCCTTTCTGCAGTGACAAGATGTTTCCTGCGTTTGGATTTGGAGCCCAGATCCCTCCTACAATGCAGGTGATTGTTTGTGTTAGTCCAGACGTACTGTGATGTTTGTATAGGCTGTTCCTCGTCTTGGCTGGACGTAACTCAGGCCGTCTCAAATTAATAGTTTTTTGTGTTTGCAGGTCAGCCACGAGTTTCCCATCAACTTCAACCCCTCAAATCCCTTTTGTGCAGGTAATAATAGACCGAATATATGGAATCACACTGCTGTGTTTAATGCACTTGACATGTAGGACATTTAGCAGTCACTTACTGCAGTCACAGAACAGCAGCTGTGGTGTATTTATGCCGTTCACTGGTGTGGTTTGACACAGTATGACATGAGATTGCTTCTTCCACTTCAGATTTTGCATCGGATGTTCAGGCATACATGGAAGTACTGCAACAACTAGTAGAGGAATTATAAACAAGAATAAACAGTTTTGATAATTGATGAGGCGTTCACGCCATGTATCAGGCAAAAATGGATGGTTGAGAACAACTGTACTTACAAGATCAATTACTGCTCTAACATAGTGTTTGTTTCAACATTTCACCAGAAACTTGTCCTTGGCCCTGAAATGTATCAGCATGTTGCAGTTTTCTTTTCCAATTCTGCTGAATTACACGGAAATGTATATATAATGATGCTCAACATGTCCCGCAAAACTTAGTTTTGTTCCCCGGCGTGTGTTTGTGTGTGTCTTTTTGTGGTTTTTAGGTATAGAGGGTGTGGTCCACGCCTACCAGCAGTGTCTGCCCCAGGTGAAGCTTTACGGCCCCACAAACTTTTCCCCAATCATCAACCACGTTGCCCAATTTGGCAGGCAAGCCATGCAGCAGCAGACTGCCTCTGTGAGTTACTGCACCAATCAAAGCCTTACAATGGTAGCGCTTGTGTGTCTAGTTTTGTTTTGGTGAAGGCACAGTCAGGTCTTCTTTTCAGTGAAAACCACTTCCACTTTATTCATTTGGTTTCTTGTGTCAACGTTTCACAGCAATACTTCGTTCTCCTCATCATCACTGACGGAGTGGATCACAGACATGGATCAGACACGCAGTGCCATCGTCAACGCCTCCCGTCTGCCCATGTCCATCATCATTGTCGGAGTAGGGGGCGCAGACTTCAGCGCCATGGAGTTCCTGGATGGAGACGACGGATCCCTGCGCTCTCTGACTGGCGAAGCCGCCATGCGAGACATCGTCCAGTTTGTGCCATTCAGGCAGTTCCAAAATGTAAGTCTGAAAATATTAGACACATTATTTATTTTACTCATTGCTTTAAATGTGAATTGTGTTTGCTGTGATTTCAGCCAAGCCATTGCATTAAAAGCTGCATGCATTTCAAGCTTCTTTTTTTCCCTAAACATTTACCTGCGTCATTTTCAGTTTAACTGGCTTCAAAATTACACATCCAAATATGGTATATTAGTGTCCCTATCCAGTACCCAGAATTCCCAGCCCCTCGACCTCACTGGCTTACTTGTGTGCCCTGTGTATTTATCTCTTTTCAGGCGCCCAGCCAGGCTCTTGCCCAAAGCGTATTGGCCGAGTTACCTCAGCAAGTGGCCTCCTTCTTCAGTTTATTCAAACTGAAGCCTCCCCACGATCCCAGTCCTTCATAGGGGTACCCCAGATATTTCAGTCGAAAACCCCACCCCCATCCTAGCCTTTGCTTGCTGCCCTGAATCACTGCATGAATCACGGCATTGTTTGCTCCTGATGTTTTCCTTCCAACTTTTCCAACTCTGTTTCGCTAAACATTCATCATCAGTGCTGAGTGAGAGCGATGGTACAACACAATCTGCTGTACTTTCTGTCTGAGGCTCTGAAGCACTGGTGACTGTCTCAATCCTATTCTTGTTTACATAAAAGGGAAAATTCCTCGCTAGATCACTAAAACAAAGTAACGAGTAATAGTTTAGGTTTGTTTTATTGTTTTGTTGGGTATTGCACAAATTGTAATTGCTCTGTAGCCGAATGTAGACAACATAATGTTAAGATATTTGCAGCACAGCTACTATTATAGCATGGTATATTCATATATTTTCAACATTAACAGTAAATCTCAGAGTCTGCAATGAGTCCGAAAACTAAGGAAATGAGGAATCAAACGATGTTGCTGTCACTGTTGTTGTTCACTCCATCTATAGTACAAGCAATTCCCCTGAAGGTTGCCAGAAAAAGTGGCACTGTGACTAGTTAGTCAAGTTAAAAGCGAAATGTAAAAGAGTGTAAATTTCCTTTTTTTCCTTTCTTTTTCTCTCTTCATCTGCACAACTTTCTACTTCTCATTCATGCTCTCTTCGTTTCATTCAATCAGTGGCGATAATGATCACATATATTTTAACTCCTCCTTCTGCACTTCAGGCTCCTCGAGAAGCACTGGCAAAGAGTGTGCTGGCAGAAGTACCAGGTCAGATGGTGGATTTCTTCAATACCATGAAGCTGACTCCACCAAACCCCAATCCTGCACCAGCCCCTTCAGAGACCATCTAATACAACAAGAAAGAAACCAGACACAGACCAGTCTCATCATACAACTAGACAAATGTCCTTCCCACACTGTCCTAACTCACCCTTTTTATTCCATCACCTAAAAAAAATAACAGCACGCATCTTAAGACAGCCGCCCCAACCACACGCACTACATCGAACATAAGCATAGCGCAGAATAGACCCTGCTGTTGTTAGATCTTAACATCCATTTGTGGTCACAAAAGAAATCAAACAATCATTCCATTATTTGAAGGATTGCAGAAACACTGCACTGGGTGTAAACTGTCCTGCTGTGTTCTTTTTTTTAAAATGCATCATGAAAGTGTTCAACTTAGTTTTATGCCTGTTTGATGGCTCCAGCATCAAGTTAAAATAGTTATGTAAAAGGATTTTATGCAAGATATCAAGTCACATCAGTTAGAGGAACCCCTTATATATGATGTTTACATTCTCAGAAATAGCTGTGGCACTACTAGTAGCATAATAATGTACATATAGCCAAGTAGCTTTGTAGTTGCTGCTGTTTTGGCACATGGAGTATATATTTACATTAGTGTTTATTGTACACGCTTCCTATGCACTCTCCTATAATAATGTCATGTACTGCAAAGACCTAGGAATTAGTTGTTTTACTCAATGAAATGCCAAACTCTGTATGGGTTATAAACCTTTTATAGAAGCTTTTTATACCTTAAAGTATGGATCTGAAATATTGGGATGACTAAAAGTAGTCTCATTGTAGATTTGGTTGTATTGTGCCAGTCTTATCACTCATAGTATGTTTGATTGTAAATGTACTGTGGTCTACCAATGTGCCAGTTACTTTGCCTTCCACATATACATGAGCAAGGACACCATGCGTTTCTTTTTATTGCCGGTATTTCAAGCCCACTAGTTCATTTATGTGAGATAACGAGATAATAAAGTCGTTATCACTAGAAAAAAAGATTGTTTCCTCTTATTATAGATTTGTTTTCATACTGTACAAAATGAGCCAGTGCATGAAAATAATCTGGATTCAGGCATTCAGGGATCTTTGAGCTTGTTTAATAAATCTCTTCCTGATATATTTTCTCAGTATTGCATCACATTGTCAGGAAATGCTTAGATTACTCTCACATTCTAGTAACAATGTTTCAGTTCAGTTATGAATCCTTCCTGACAGTCATGACCGTGATCTTAAAAGCTGAAATCAGCTAATTTTTTTGTTTTCATCTCTGGAAATGTAGGTAGTTTTCTTGTGATAAATGATCTTGTCTCAGCCCTGACTAAGGATGTTTTTTCCAGTGATTTTGCCACTGACTTTTGATTTAGCCTAGGGTTCAACTCTGTTTGGGAAACCATATATCTGGAAGCAAAGACACCATGGTACAGTGAATGAGAGAAAGGGATGCATCAGTATTAAACATGTTGTCACTATAGAAACTAGATACAGTTCTGTTTATTGAAATCTATATTTGATTTGTTCATTTTTATATGGTTTTACAATGAAAGCTATGAAACATGTATCTGATGTATCATGTTGTGCACCAGCTTTAGTGCTCCAGCAGACATGGGTAATGTGCCTTTGTATTAACATGCAGAAAGTGTATCAAGCATGCTAATAAAGTACCTCTTATTCAATACAAATTGAACTTCACTTATTTAATTCTCCAGCCCTTTGTAAATGTTATATTCATTCTCCAGCAGTGTGTACTTACTGAAATGACCAAAGGGTTGAACTCACTCCTTTGTGGTCATTGGGACAACTGCAGCATATGAATTTACTATGATGGATACTTCTGTTTATATGTGAGTGGGTGTTTCTGAACATTTCTTCAAGAGCTGTTGGATGGTGAAAGGTGAAATACAGACTTTTGCTGCCACCTACTGGAACACCAAGTAAATCAAAAGCAGCATGTTGTGCCATCTGTTTGACTAAATCACTACTGAATGAGGTGATGTATTGACATTGTCTGGGATATTGTTTATAGTAATATCCACTGATAGAGCTTAAATGTTCGGCCAGTGACCACAATCAAACACTTTATTGTGTAAAAGGGTATAAAGATACAGCTTATTCACCAGTATCAACAATATACAGAGTGATGGTGGTGGTTGTGACATCACATCAGTGCTTGGAGACATCCATCTCAACCTAACGACCTGTACTCAGGCACTTATATATATCATATAAAAATAGGCTATTCTCTTTGTGGAGGTGTCCGTGGTAACACTGCATTGTTCTAACCGAATAAAATAAGATGGTAAACATCTTCTGTTCAGTCTGTAAATCCAGTGTGCAGCTCATCAGAATTGATTACCTGACATACATTTTTTTCTAAATACGACTAAGAGTCAGTCTACCAGCCCTACATGCATCACCTCATGTAGACGAATACACCTCAGAGCTACAAACCTACTGTGAACCTATTCACCCCTTATGTTAAGCAAGACAAACATCCTCTGCTTCCTCTTTAGGTGCAGACGTCGTACACTTCCTGCTACCTTGACTGAAGTAGCCAGTGATGGTTCTTATTAGACATCAGAGGGTCAGGGGTCTCTAGCAGCTCAGCTTTGTGTGTCAGGCAAGTACAACCAAAGGTTTGACATGACTGGAGGCAGAGCCTGATCCTGGCTGTGGTTACATGCGGTGGATGTTGTTGTGATCCATGAACTGCTTGAGGTTCTGCAGGTTGTCCCACCACTTGAAGAGGAAGGTCTCTGCGATGAGGCTGAACCAGGGCGTGATCTCCAGCTCCTTGCGCTTGGCCTTCTCTAGCATCTCCTTCAGCTCCTCCTTGCTCACGTAACAGTGGCTTTTGATCTCGTTGGGATCCGGATTCAACTCCACATTCTTCGCAGAGACAGAAAACAGACAATGTCACTACCCATAATACAGTAGACATAATGCCGACAATGCAGACAAATACACTGCAAATATTTTATACTAAATACTTTTATACTAGTAAAACATGCAGCAAAGGGCCGCAGGTTGAAACTGAACCTGGGCCACTGCAGTAAGGAGTCAGCCTACATGGTGAGCTACCATGAGCCCCCACAATGTAAGTCAACTCTATGTCCAACAGACATTACAGCGCTACCTTCTGCATGAAGAGGATGTAGTCAATCTCATGTTCTCCCCACACACCATCTGACTGGGCTTTGTAGTGGATCCGTGTCAGGTAAGTCATTTCATCTGGTGTCACCTGAGGAACAACAGGAAGGCAGAGGAGATCAGAGGCAAGGAAAGATTCTCCACAGTCCTCAATAATCCTCTTTCACTAAATGCAGAAGCCACACACACACACACACACACACACACACAGTATACCTGGTCCATGGGGATACCCAGTTCAGCTTCGAGTCTCCTCTGAGCAGCTCTCCTCACTCCTATTGCATCCTTCTCCTCCAGCTCGCTGTCTGTGTGCAGAGGATGACTGCAGCATGTGTTTGTGAAACAGCCTGTAAACACAAAGACACAAGGGAGAGTTAAACAAATTGCCAAAGCCTACTAATAGTTCCTGGTGCTCAATGGGCCGTTCTCAAATTGCTGGTTTTGTCTGACCAAAAGTCCTAAAACCCAAATATATCCATGGACAATAATATAAAATACAAACAGGAGCAAATAGTCCCTTTAGAAAAGCTTTGCTTAACAAAGGACATGAACAGTTAACTCTCTCTTTTGGGTTACGCTGCTGCGTATGACACTATGTATCCAAGAGGAGTATCTGGGATAGAAATAGGATATTTGGGATAAACTGGGAAGTTTAAGGATTTGTCACCAACCTGGAAAAGTGATTTTGGCATCTGACCTCTGTTGTAAGAGGAGCTTCTCTTCACTGTTGAAAATGAAGACGCTGAAAGCTCTGTGTAATAAACCTGGTAAAACAAACAGTTACCATGAGTACAAATCTGAAATAAAAACAATATGCACTAAAGGCCAGACGGGTGCGTGCAGACAGGTACCTTTGTCGATGTTGCCGTTGAGGTGGCAGTTTTTCTTGGTGTCCGCTCCAATTTTGTGGTCGTTCTCGTCGATGAGGATGCACATCTCAGCCAGCAGCTGGACCTGCTTCTCGTCCAGGTGATCGGTGGTTATCTCAGGCATTCTGACCGCGGTCTGTAGGTGTCTCGCCTCACTGCAGGAGGAGGAGGAGGATGAAGCAAACAACAATTGATAGTTCAGTGAGTTTTCATATCGAAACTCAAGCTGTGCACTTTCAATGACATTCTGAACATATTAACTAGTAACCAATAAATCCTCCTCCTTACTACCCTTTTATGTTTGTAGTAGATAGAGAGCAACTTCACCTGCTGAAGAAGCTTTTTCCACGTTCAAAAACTTTTCACACTCACTCAGAACAGATGTGAAATATACTTCATAACCAAAGTATACTACTCAAAGTATGCCAAGTGTGAAGAACCCAGAGGAGGCCTGTCTTAGTTAACTAACCATGTAAATGCATGAATGAAACATTCCTACAATCACAATAACAATCAGAAAATACTGCAAAATGCTCATAACGAGTTCCCACTGTGCAAGGGGTTTTATGTAAGTCCCAAACCCAAACATATCAGTGTCCAATCATATAACATCTAAAAAGGAGCCAATAGTCCTTTGTGAAGCTGCTTAATGAAGCACAGTTTCATTGCTGCTCATCACTATAACGTCTTATGGCCTTGGACACAAAGTTAAATGTATGTTACAATAATAATATACAATCCAATAATACTGCAGTAAGGGCAGCCTGCTTTAGCGGATGTTCGCCGGACTGAGGAGAATATAACTCAGGCTCTCAGTACTTCAACCAACACACACAGAAACCTGAAGCGCAAGAGTGTGTTTAGTAGCATTTAACATGACTTTCTTTCCTTTAAGACAGACTTAAGTAGAGCTCAGCTGTCAATAGCACAGACAGACACCGTTACTGAGCTTACAGTCAATAGGCTTATCTCCGGCTCTGCTGTCTTTAACCTGAAAGCAGGACGACCTGAGGCGGTTTCAGACAGCCACAGGGTCCCGCTCGGCCTACCTGGATGTGGCTCTGCGGCAGGCGGCGGTGGGGGAGCAGGTAGGTCTCTTCCACGGTGCAGCAGCTCGTCCAGGTACGTTTGTTTTCAGACCAGCTGCTCCCTCGCAGGACACCATCCGGAGCACCGCCCACAGGCCCCGCACCATCGCCTGACCAAAACAGAAAACCAATCACAAGAACTGAAGGTGTGGGTGGGGGTGAAACCCGGACCGGAGCTCATCCCAGTCTGGATCGGAAGATACGCTTCAGAGGATACCTGTGGACTGAGGGGGGGGGCTGAGGGGGTCTGAGGGGGGCTGAGCATGGACAGGTGGCAGTTCATGAATGCCCATAAAAAAAATGTATATGAAGTTTTATATAAAGACTAAATGCTTTCACTATACTGTAATGTGTTAAGTTATTTTAATTCAGAAAAATGGAAACGGATTACATTGACAATGTTTAAGTAACACAAACTCAATTTTGATTGATTTAAGTACTTTTTATGAGGTTTTTCTGTTCAAATAAAAAAATCTAAATGATGTCAGTGTCAATTAAAATTACTACTTGAAGCTACTTGATTAAGAATGTTTTTGTAACTTACAAAACTAAGCTAGTTTTACTTTAAAATTGTAATCTGTTTCAACAATGTTTTTAGTTATCTGGTTTTACAGCGCAGATCAAACCCTTACATCTGCTGTAGAGTTTAGGACATTTTTTTCCATTACTGGTCTGATCACTTATTGCTAAAAATAACAAAAGCGGAAACAATAAATAAGGCCTTAAGTGGAGGTTCCCATGGTCCTATAGTGCCATCTTGAAATTTCTTTCAACTCAAAGATATTCAGTTTACATTGATGTAAAAAAAAAAGAAAAAGAATATGGGACTGTCATGTGTCATCCAAATGGATAGATCATAAATAGAGTTAATCAATTTATTAAAATTGTTTTTGATTAAATGATTTGTGAATTAACTGATAAATTAATCAACTAATTGTTGAAGCACAATTTATAACAAAGTAACCTGTCTTGTTTTGGGTTTTTGAATGTGTTTTATTGTTTTTCAGGCAGCCATTTATTTCCATCACAATTAAGAGGTAATATCCTGTGAGGGACTAAGTGTTCAAATCTCTATTTAAACAAAAGTATCAGTACCACCAACACTGTAGAAATACTGGATTACAAGTAAAAGTCCTGCACTGAACTTGTTACTCAACTAAATGTATACATGTGTCATCATTAGCAAAGTGTACTTTAAGAATCAAAAGTAAATGTATTTAATGCAGTAAAATGGTTCCTGTGAGTATTTTATATTATAGTGTTATATTATTAGTTATCACTTTTGCATTAACATGAAAGCATGTGGTGGAAAAAGGACAGTAGGAGCTCATTGTTCCGATCCAGCAGGATCCACTTCACGTTTCCCTCTGAACCCTGACTGTCAACACGCCATCAGACCACTGCACAGCCGCACCACCCAGGCCTCAGACAACCGGATACAAGTATGCATTGTCTGCTACACACACAACACACACACAAGCCGATACATCGATCAGTTACTTACAAGAACAGAGCTGCTGTTTCCGGTAGATCAACCACGTATGTTAACGTATTGTGGACGGTGTTTTAGAGCTGAACGCTGTGGTCGAAAGCGAGGCTTCACTCCCTCCCTCTGAGCTCACGGGTTTTCATTGGCTGCGGTAGAGTCGGTGTGGCAGCCCATTGGCTTACAAAGTGCAAACACAAACCACGTGATGCGGAAATGGGTGCACCGATAAAATACGTGATGTGTCAAAATCTGGATTAAAATGTTCACACTTACAAACCTATAATGTGTCACTACTGTCCGCTTTCAAAGTCAGACGTCGACAACACGTTGCACATGACCACCTGAGCGGTGTATATCATTAGTGATGGAGTGATGGAGGCTGTAGCTCACCGTGCTGGATGTAACTTAGCTGTATGTAGCTGTGTGTCGCTGTATGTAGCTGTGTTAGCGTTATGTTGAATGCTACATGCCGCAGTGAAGCGGATATGTGGCAGCTAGCTGGGGTTAGCCTGTAGCTCACTTCGTGTCTGGACCTCCATGATAGCCAGGTGTGAGTTCAGTGAGGCAGCGGTGAGTCACCTTTCTATATGTCAGATATCGATGATGGGTCGAAGTGACAAATGACAGAAACGTCGATAATATTTATTTTGCAAGCATAACTTAGCATGTTCTTTTCTATGGGTGGTTATTGTATATTGTATAACTAAATAAATTCATATTTGTTCTGGTACGTTACATGTTGGGGTCTTAAGCTAGTAACTATATGAGGCTAGAGAAATGTTGTTAGGCATTGTCTAGCTGTTACGCAATTCCTACGCCATCACAGCGATAGCACGAAGCAGTCCCAAAATGTGTCGTCCTCTTGTAATGTCATGTAAAGACCCTGACGCTGGACTTAAATACTGTGAGTTAAATGTCGTAATGTGTGGCTAACGCAGGTGTATTTTTGCAAATTACTTCAGGTCTGTGAGGCTTTGCAGGCTTTTTTTTTTTTACCTTTAATTCATACAGTCGTCTTCCAACAACAGCGGGTGGTAGCAAGTATCGGGTATTTAACAGCTGTTTTTAAAGTCAGGTCTACAAACAGCACTGTACATGTTTGCTGCTAAGCAAAGCAGCATTAAATTACTGGACTTTTTAATGGACTTTTGTCATGATGTTGTTTCAAAGCAGCAGGTGTCAGAACAAGACTGCACCAACAACAAGCCCCCACAAATATCAACATCCATCCTCTGCAGGAAAGGCTATGCTTCACCCTGAGCAGTTCCAGTAATGGCTTTGAACTTCACTTCCCTTTTACCTGCAGGTGGTGACAGCAGACCGACCTAACCCAACCACCGGCGCCCAGGGAGCCTTGCCTTTGTTTACCTGTTTCTCAGGTAAGAAGTGAGCAGGGGGCAGGGGGCAGGGCCACGAGGTAGGAGGGATGCCTGTGGAGGGCGGAAGCAGCAGCGGCTCTGCTTCGGCTGCCCGTCACCCCAAGCAGAAGCGCAAGGCTCACAGTTTATCTATCCGGCGCACCAACAGCACAGAGGAGAGGCCCCCAGGCATCCAAAGAGGAGACATGCTGGAGGGACAGGTGAGGGAGATCCATGCTTTTTCTCCTCTCTCGCACACTGACTGACACATTATGGCAAACACACAGCGTTAAAGACATGTAGCTAGTGACGTGTTTTGTAGGCATGACTTTCTCGTGGATCTGCTCAAATAATACATATCACAAAGTCTTTGTTAATTAGCATTTTGATTGTCATTTTGTGGTGGTGTGAGGTCACGAGAGTACAGTACCAGCCGGTTTATCAGCTTTTTGTTTTTTACCTGGTGTTGCAACAACCACAATAAGTGGGAAATGTGTTTTTTTTTTAGGTAGCTACAGGAACTTACTTTGGATTAAACTTGCTCTTATCAAAGTGCTAATGCCACCTGGATTTTACATTCTTCAAATCTTTTTGAGCCGGGTATGAATGTGCATGTTCACAGCTGATTTCATTTTGTTACAACAAAGGAATCTACTGTGACTTTTTAAGCCCACTAGTGACATTTAGTTAGTGATTAACTATGTCCAAACAGGTTGTTTAAATTGGCGCTGCAATTGATTCATTCCTTCTAGAAACGGAAGAACATTAGCTTTTACATGAGCAGGCATTTCCTGATGCAAACTAGTCGTAGCCATAAACTGTCTGAGATAAGAAAAGCTTCTTTCTGTTTGACCAAGAACATCCTGGTTGTTAACTGTTGGGAGGTGGCTGTTGAGTGACTTTATTGAGAGGGATCTGTCAGATGTGAGTGACCGTCAAGCGTCATCTGACTGGTGGAATGAAACACAAAACAATGTTTGTCCCTCTTTCATGATCCAGGTTCTGGATCAAAGTGTTCAGTATGAAATAATATGATGCTTGATTTTATCAGCCCTAGTTTTTGCCATGGGAGTCCTTTTAGCTATTACTTTCTCTGCTTGACAATGTCCTTGAATTATCAGCCACTAAAACTAGAGCTCAGCTTGCACTGACCTGTTGTCTCATCAAATTTTAATATGGGCCGCTTGTCCTGGTCTGATTAGTCTTTTCAACAGGCCTTTTTGTCCTTTGCTGGCTCTGTTTATGTACCTAGTCTGTCCCCACCCCCCACCCCCACAGCACTAGTTTCACACACCCACACACACACACACACACACACACACACAGCTTAATAAACCCATATATAACACACAGAATGCTTTTTCTTCCGCTTTTTCAATGTTGTCATTATCCAGAGTACGCTGCTGGTTTTAGTGCCACGACTAAGCAGCTTTAAATTCATAAGGGCTCCCTGTTGTTTGCTAATTTACAACGTGTGTTGACATGTGGCGCTGACAGAATGGTCAGGCGGTTAACGTCACTGTGGCAAACTGTTGGGTTTGAGCATGTGCCAGAAGAAAGAGTGACAGTCGACTACTTGGTTTCCTCGTCTTTCAGATGACTAGAGAAATAAGCAGCAGCGCTCAAGGCGAGCTGTCAAATGCAGCCTTTTGAACCCATTGTTTTAATGGCAGCTTTTTACGTGCTAGTCTGGTGTAGACTGGTGGTCAGCTGATAACGGGGTACTTCTAGGAGTTCACCATGGAGGTAAGTCAGTTGAAATGAGGTTGACTGGTTGGGCCCTGGCTGTCGTGTAGTCAGTCAGTTGTTTGTAGGTTGTAGTAACGTAGCCCTGAATGTAGCTGAGTTTTCACACGTTGGTGGCTGATTAAATCAGCTAAGCATACAGGCTGTGTTTGAGATGAGATAAGTGGGCTGATTTGTTTAAGTGGTGTGTACGTTATGAGTCACCCAAATGTCTCTGTGAACAGTGATAATACATCAGATACTTGTTTGTCATCGTAAAATTGCATCGTGCCTGTCAGCAGTATGTTTAAACATTTTCATTTGTGAACATATTTTGAAATGGTGTTGAAGTTTAGATTTTAAAGCATACTGGATACATCACATTATAATTAAAAGAGAATACCAGACTAGAGAAGGGTCTAGAGTAGATAGATAGATAGAATGGCTTGGGGGGTGCCTGGGGTTAATACAAGTTATCACTGTTCCCCAGCTTGATTCCTGATGTTTAAGCCTATATGTCAGCTCACTATCAGATTTATTAGAGCGTCGCTCTTTTCTTGTCTGTGTGTCCAGGACTCCAAGCTGCCCATCTCCTTACGGAACAACCTCCTTGACCTTTTTGGTCAGATTGAGCGCGAGTTTGAAAATCTCTACATTGAAAACCTTGAATGTGAGTAACTGATACAAAGAGGAAATGTATTTAGATTTCATGGGTGCATACCTTGCAGTATTGATCTTCAGGTGTTGATTGACTAACCGGTGTTTGCTTACTGATGCCCTGTCACTGTGCTAACATTACAGTACGCCGGGAAATTGACTCTCTGAATGAGCGCCTGACCGGAGATGGACAGACTATTGAGGGAGGAGACCCCACCAAGGGAGCTCTGAAAACAAAAGGTACAATATTTCCTACACAATCTGTTGGAGGTCTCAATACAGAATTCAGCTTCTATAATCATTGAAAGGGAAAATAATGATGACATTGATTGTGCAGCTTTAAAATGACATATGAGAGTGGCATTGTTTCAACATTTGAAGCTGGTAAACAAGGATTTTAATCAGGATATTGTTTATATATTATCTGTATAGCAGTATTGTGAAACAAAACTAAAAGTGTTAATAGTTATTTAAAAAGTGCACAAGAAGCGACATGTTCCACACCTTGTACAGTTTTTATTTTCAATTTAAAAAAATGTAATATATAAAATGTACCACACTTTTTTTTTGTAGTCAACTGATTAAAATAAACATTTCTAACTCCACCATATTTGATAAGTTTGATCATAACCCTGGTTAACTGGTAATCTTTTATGAACAATGAATTACACAGCTCCTGCTGGCCATATGGTGCCAGTCAGTTCCACTGCACAGGTTTTAATAAGTCATTAGCAGCCACACAGACAGTACTGACAACTAACAAGGAAATACACAAGGCTTTGTATTGTTGAGGTGTGTGCAATTGCTATGGCACTTTATAAGGCCATTAGCACAGTAGTGAAACAAACCAATGAGTTTGTTATATAGCATTCTTTGTCTCTCCTTAACACAGCCAGCCACAGCACCAGTCAGCTGTCACAGAAGCTGAAGACGACCTACAAAGCCTCTACCAGCAAGGTACGTGGCGCCGGCTATCTTAGTCTATTCTATAGAGCTTGTAACATTTGTCATCTGTGTAATTATTTGTGTTTGAGCTGTTGACATCAAGGCTGGGGGTAACTATTAAAAGCCCCTTTGTTGCTGAGTGAGGGGAAGTAAGTCTGAGGTCATGATATGTAAAGAGTAGGTAAACAAATTAAATCATTACTGTTGAATTCTCATGTTTTTGAAGTGCTGATGCATTTATATAAAAATGTTTGGACTTACAGGGCGGTGTAGGAAACTAGTGTTTAAGCATTTAGCACAAAATGACATCTCCTTTGACTTTTTCCTCTTTAATCTCTTGCCAATGTAGCGCTTGTACACTTTCCACGGCAAAATAGGTGGACCTCGCAACTTCAGTGTGGCCACATGGGAGTTGTGGGGAGGAGATTCATGGGTAACTTCCTGAATGCTCTGTTTGTCACTAAGCATCGTGGGGGACCGCTGTGGGCTGAGTCTGTTTTTAACTCCAGTCTGACCTTGACTCCTCATCTCTTCTCTGCTCTGCACCCTGCAAGTCATTTGGGTGAATGGCTGCCTCTGTGTAAAACAAAGAAAACCAAATTTTTACAGTTTCGTATGAGAATACACTGTAATTTGTTTTACAATATGTCCTCTACCAATAGAGTAGATCCTTACTTACTCTGGTGACCACTTGAGTCCTTCCCCAATCGCTGTATCAAACAATATGTCAGGGTCAATTGTCACAATACCAAAACAAATAACTGATGTGGAATTATAAGAGTCAAAGAGTTTTTCCCACATCACAAGACGAGTTCATCAGGAGCCAGGAGGGTTGAGTTTAGACAGACTGGCCCTTAAAAAAAAAGCTGTCTTCGAACAGCTCTTACAGGAATAGTTCAGCATTTTGGGAAATGCACTTATTTACTTTGTTGCCAACAGTTAGATGAGAAAATTGTTACTGTTCATGTCTGTATGCTGAATGGGAAGCTAACAGCAGCAGCCACTTAGCTTAGCTTAACAAAAAGATTGGAAACGGCTACCCTTGCTCTGTTAAACGTAAAAATCTGCTGACCTGCACCGATAAAGCTCACAGATTAACACCTTATATCTGCCAGTTATATCTACAAATGTGCCGAGTTATTTTGTGGGCAGCATCTTGGGAGTTTCTGCTGGTTGCCTGGCAACTACTCCGAGGCAAGAAACAGTTCAGAATATAACCTCCGTAAAACAGCAAATTGTTTTTTTTATTTGTATGGATTAAACAAACAAGATATAACATGTTCATTTCTAGTCTGTATACTAAGCTAAGATAACCAGCGGCTACCGTTATCTTCATATTTACAGTACAGATGTTTCTAATTTAACGCTGGAAAGCGACTAAGTCATTTCCCAAAAAATATGTGTATAAATTAGACTGTGCAAATGTGAAAGATTATTTGGGTGCACTTATTTTTCAAAATTCTTTAGTGGTGTTTTACTTCAGTGTAATATGGTTTTCAAACATGTCTGTTAACTTTTCTTCCCCATTGTCTTATTTTCCTTACTTTACCTAAAAGTTTCCCCCAGCATTGCTCTTCTTAAAGCAAAGAAACTATCTGAATGCAGCCAAAGTCTGAGCTAGATGAAGAGTGGGACACACTCCTCCTCTGATTTGAAAGAGGATACACAGGATCAAGGGAGGACTCCTTAGATTAACCTTCTGACAGAACTAGCTGCTATATAATATACAGCTAACCTACCAGCTGCCTAAGAAACATGACAAAAAACTAATGTTGTGAAGACTGACAGGACTTGAAACTAATGATCTGCACTAACTATATTCTCAGTTTAGCTTGACTGGAATGGGCTATTCTTCTTGATGCTCACTGCTCATTGTGTTTCAGTGACATGAAACAGATAAGATTGTATTGTATCGTAATGTGAATGTAAACACAGCGGACAGAATGAGAGCATACATTAACACAGTCTGACACAAGGGAACCAGATGCTTCGCTGCTGCGTCTAATGACTACCAATGATGGAAGCTTATTGCTGTGGTCAGCCGTCTGCTTGCAGCAGCATGCTCAGTACAGGTTGTGACCGCTCTGTGACAATTGAAACTACAAATCACCATTTAATTTGTTCATCTGGAAGCCTGCAATGACTAAAGGCCATATGTAACTAGGCCACAAGATATTTTTAGAGGTGCACCACGCGTATCTTTCTCACTCCGATACTTGAATTGGCAGTTAGTCAAGCTAGTCTCGATGTGACACACAGTTTGGAGCAAATTGAAACCATAAACCTTTTGGCAGTTGCAGAATCAACCTCTGATGAAAACAGTGCTTGTTTACAGGATCTACTCACACCTGGCTTTTACAGGCTGCTGTTCTAGGGCCCTGCATCACAAAGCCAGTTTAACTTTGTCCAGCACTCTTTTGATTACAGGCTTCTCTGAGCCTAACATCGACGATTTACTGTGAGTTAAAACATACACAATATAATGACATAAGTACAATATATTAAGAATTTGATATTTAGAAACACTAGGAATAATTTACAAATATTTAACATAATGCTAAAACTACAAATACAGGTCAGAATTATGATATAGGCCTTTTGAAATTTGTTCAGTGTGAATACAGTGAATATGGATCATCACAATATCACTATGGAATACACATAAATTATTCTTTTTATGTACTTTTAGTCTCATTCTTAACTATCATGAATACATGATGCACTTAAAAACTGCTGCCAAAACAGAGAGGAAGAGTACAGATAGTCTGTTCCAAAACAGCAGAGCAAAAGAAATAAATGGCTGATAATGCTGAAATGTTGCATTTATAATGAACTGAGTTAATTAACAGTGTGCACAATTAATATGCAGCTCTAATTGCCATTCATTAGTCTGTGGGAAACTATCTCTCTGTTTGTTTTAAACCCAGAGTGGACACATAATTGCATAAAAAATGTTTCTTTTATCTCCGAAATAATTAACATGGAAAGCAGAAAGTTTCTACTGATCTATAAAAATGTCTCTGTTGCTTTTTATTACTTCTCACTTAGTTGCAAACTCATATTCCTGTCAGGATCCTGTAGCAACTCATTTTTTTTAAGGGAGCTGTCAGGCTTTTGACAAGTTTTGATCTGATCGTGTGAAGTAAAGTTAAAAGTGAGCTTTGTGATACCAGAAAGTTAAGAGAGTTTATACCAAAGAAAGCTGGCTCACCCACTAATCTCACCCCATGTGCCTTATGTGTTCATCTCCAACAATAAACTGTGTGAAAAATGAAAAGCTAATATTTGTTTTATCCCATAAACCTAATCGATACATTTGTTTCTGTATTGGTGCCATAGTCGGCCATGTAGTGAGGCGTGAGTGCTTGTAATTTGGATCGTACATATGCTGGAATTTAAAGTAACCACTTCTGCAAACGTTGTATTGGTGCACCTGTAGTTACATTTTAATGTTACTTGGCCTCTAATTTAAGCAAAACTGTAAGAAAGAATGCTCATCCCAATGTCCATTTCTCTTTTCTTCATCATGCACTCCTCTCTCCCCCCTCCCTGCTCAGATCGTGTCCAGTTTTAAAGCCACCGCGGGGTCCCGGGCTTTGTGCCAGCTGCTCAAGGAGTATGTGGGCCACCGGGACGGGATCTGGGACCTCAGCGTCACCCGGAATCCGCCAGTGGTCCTCGGCACCGCCTCCGCAGGTACACCAACTCATTTTACTTACTGTTTAATTGTGTCAGTCTCTGCCGGCATTGTTACATACACAGCCTACGTGCCATGGAGTGGTTTCAAGAAAAATAAGTCAAAACTAAAGGTGCTGCATGCTGTATTTACATCATTATATCACTGTCTCATTAAATGTGTATTAACCTTGGTGCAATCAGCAGAAAGAGTTTTTGAGTTTTAGTTGATATCATCTGTTGCACACCAGCAGGGTTGTTAGTGCAAGTATTGTCAAAGCTAATTTAAAAGAAAAAGAAAAGACAACACTCAAAAAAAAAAAAAAACTTCAATGGTTTGTCAGTTTTGTTTAACATAATTTTTCTTTGTTTCCATCATCTGCCATTGCAAGAAACTTTAGAAGCTCTTGTTCTGTGTTTGCTGGGAACATGCTGTTCATTTTATTGTGTTGTAGACAATCTCACCATAAAGTGGTTTGGAAATCTGTCACAAAATCTAACTAGATAGCCCACTGTGTAAAGCACAGTACATTACAATATTCAATCATTCACCTAGTGTTTAAAAAAAAAAAAAAAAGAAAGAAAGAAAAATAGTGAATGTCTTTATGTTGTCCACCCGTGCTCTCCCTTCACAGATCACTCAGCTCTGCTATGGAGTATAGAGACTGGGAAATGTCTGCTGAGGTATGCTGGCCATGCAGGATCAGGTAATGAAATGTATGCAGCAAGTTCTGTCATGTCACATCTCTTTTTATTAAACATTCATTTCTATAAACATCGACATATGAATGCAAAATCTGTTGGCGAGGGACCAAGGACCAACAGTTCGTTGCATCGGAAGCTTCTGGTTGATGATGATTTAGCTTTAGGGTTACCTTTTGTTTTTTTAAATGCATCCAAAATGTGTCTTTCTGGTCATGAAGTTGCTAGTCAGACGACAGAGGACGCCTTGGTCTGGATATCCGTTATCCTTTTTCTGGATATCCGCTGGCTATTCTGGAAACCCCAAAACACCGGCTGTTGCCCCTAGAGGCTAAATCGTACTCAGATGACAGCAGATCTTTGTCTGTTTTATGTCTAAAGCTGTAGGTTACTGTCAGATAAAACAGTGTCAGCGTTTGCTCACTAGGCTAGTTACATAATAGGAATACTTGATGTAACATGTGTCTCATCATTTTTCTCTCGCCCGCAGTCAACTCCATCAAGTTTCACCCCACAGAGCAGATGGCCCTTACAGGTCTGTATTTGAATGGAGTGTGTTGTATTTTGTTGAATTAGCTGCATTTGATATTTGTGTCAACATGTTAATTCTCCTCATGACTATTAGATCCTTTTCACCCTGCCTCTGTTGTCTCCAGCAGTTTGTTTTCTGTAGATCCAAATGTGCTGTGTGTTTGCTGATGTGTACTTACGTTTCCACAGCCTCTGGGGACCAGACGGCTCACATCTGGCGCTACATGGTGCAGCTTCCAGCCCCCCAGCCACCGCCAGATGTCAGTGTGAGTGGCTTTGTACTGTTCTCTAGTGTTTCTGCTGGAATATCCTGGAATATCACACATTTCTGAGAGGGGTATTCTGTCAAAAGATTTGTTAAATGTACCAATTCACACGAAAACTAGATCTATCACTGCAGGCGTCTGGGGACATTGGCTGAACTGCTGTGTTTTCCTTTGTGCGCTCATAGGCTCTATGTGATGACGACCAGGACTCGTCAGACAGGGAAGAAGGGGAGGTAGATGGCGAGGGCCCTTGCGAGGTCCCAACTGTCCGGCTTGCCACAGCAACCCTGAAGAGCCACCAGGGTGTAGTGATTGCAGCTGATTGGTTGGTGGGGGGCCGACAAGTGGTGACAGCTTCCTGGGATCGTGCTGCAAACCTGTACGAGTTGGAGACGTCTGAACTGGTTCACACGCTCACTGGTATGTAAACTGGCCAACATAGAAGAGCACAATATGGTGTCTAGCAGGGTTGGGCGATATGTAAGAATTTTCCAGCCGGCCACCGTCAGTCCAACAATCGCCAATTGCTATGCCAGTTCCCCCCGATCCCCCCTATTCACTGCCATAGTAGTTTCAGCTGGGAGAGGAATGGCGTGTTTGCTACATGGAACTTTAATGAATAATAAAGTTGTTTAATAAAGCTTTAACAGCTTTATTGAACAAAATAAACTCACCAAATGTGAGTGAGAAAAGAAAAACACCTGTTTTCCTCATTAAACAGAAAAAGAAAAAGTTTCTCTCTTATCCTGAACTAAGACCTTGTTAAGTGATCTTTAAACATACTTCATTTAAACTCGACAGAAACAAAATAAAACTGACCAAACCATCTTATTAGACTATCACCAACTCTGGTGTCTAACAGAAATAACTCCCTCCCCCGTCCTCCCATGCTCCTCTACCTGCCTCATGCCTCTCCTCTCCTGTCCCTGCTGTGTCCTTGTCTTCCCTGGAGTTACAGTCTTGTTTTGAGCCATGTGGATCACCTTGTAACTGTATTCCCTGTCATCGGACTAGTCAAAATAAACCCTAAATTCACCGCAGTTAGATGTGAAAATAAACTGGCTCTACAGCTGTTTTTCCTCCCACTCTGTCACTGAGCAGTTCTCATTCTCCTGAGGCAGACCATTAAATTAACAAAATAAAATGAGAAAAATCGTCAAAAAGAACCCCAAAAAGAACCCCAAACCCCTAGTGTCTGTTGTCTTCATCCTCTGTTTTCTTCTGGCACATAACCTACTCTTGATACTTTATTACCGGAGCAACCATGTGTCTCTATGAAAATCATATAATGATGTTTCCCATGGAGTTTAGTATGTTTACTATTGTGTGTCTGTACGCAGGACATGACCAGGAGCTGACCCACTGCTGCACCCACCCCACCCAGCGCCTGGTGGTCACATCATCCAGGGACACCACCTTCAGACTGTGGGACTTCAGAGACCCGTCCATCCACTCTGTCAATGTCTTCCAGGGACACACTGAGTAAGTCTCTCTCTCTCTCTCTCTCTCTCTCACACATACTCACTCACACTCACACACACAGCTCAACCCTCGTTTAGCCATCATTCACTTAGTTTCAGCAGTTTGAGTTAAGGCTAGTTGCTGCAGTCTTTATTTTGCCCACAGGGTGGTGCTGTAACATCTGTCTGGTCTGTGAATCCCGCCAGCATTTTCTTGTGTTTTTTTTTTACCCTTTTCCTTTTACAGTGCCACATTAATTTACAGACCCTTTTGCTCTAAGCCAAATCCTCCACTTGCCTCTCATTCATTACTGAGCACTTCTCTCCACTTCGACGGTTTGCTTCTCTTTCTCTCCTCTCCTTCTCTCCCTACCGCTCTCTCTCCCTCGCTCTCCTGTTCATTTATCTGTCCGTTTCTGCGTTAATCCCCCACTCTGTGTAATTTGGCACTTCGCTCGCTGTTAACACTCAATTGCAGACGCTCATTTCAGAACGATGACTGTCAGGCTTGTCTGTTGCTTTCAATGGCAGCGCTCTTTGAAAGGCGTAAGAAGAGAGTGTGTGTGTTTATGTGCCTGTCCTACGTGTGTGCTGGCTGGTACTCTCTGGGAGCCTTTGATTGCAAGTGGGGGGGATTACATAGAGCTCATTATGTACGACCCCAACATGTATAATTCCTGCAGATCCCACTCTAATTCTCTCCCATAGACAATTGGTGTAATGAGATTAAGCACCAGTGTTTCACAGTTAACGACAACCCTCCTCCTTCCCTTCATTCTTCTTTCCTTCCCAAATGGACATTGATGGTTTTTAAAGTGAGAACTTCCTTACTTGTCCTTCTGTGGTGCATTATGAAAGCATAAACAATCGCTCAGTTGCATACAACCTAAATGTATACCCATCCCCATGCTTGTTCCTCTTTCCAACTTGTGAACAGTTTTTGTTTAAACCATATCCTCCAACAACAGCAAGTTGCTATCTCCCTGCCATTTCTCTGGCAAATTTTCCAGAATCTCCAATATGGCATAATGGCGTAGCATAAATGGCATAATGTCCACAAGCTCCACATCTCTCCTGTGGAAACAGCAGAGGAGAGTGAGAGTGTGAATGGTTTAATAGGCAGAAGAGTTGGAGAGCTGGAGGGGAGCAAGCCTCTCGTTTCCACTGTCTTCACTGGCAATTACAGCTAACGCTCCCTGACAGTGAACCGCGGCAGCTAAAAGTGCAGCATACACCCTCTATCCCACCACCCCGCCATAATTGCAGAGTAATGACAACTACACGTGAGCTAACAAAAAGAGCAAACCAGAAGTGACAGCGGACTTGCTCTACAAACGGAAAGCCATGTCACGTTTGTCTCTCCTGCAATCGACGGCTTTCGGAGACATTTGATTGAAGCGTGAGTGTGTGTGTGTGTGTGTCTGTATGAAGTCTTGACATCCTGTCTCTGGAGGAATACATCAGCACTTACCAGGTTCTCAGCGACTGTCAGTTTTGCTGCAGCACAGCAAAATAACAAAGTGCTCTAAAACCTCTTAGTCTGTACCTGAATTGTTTCATTTACATTTTACCTTTTAAGCATCTGGCTTACGCTCGCATCCACTTACAATGAGTACATTGTAATGTTCCTTGAGATTTTCATAAATTCATACATCAATCATTAAAATCACTCATTAGGAAGGAGGATACGGGTCAAAGCCACAGTACCAGAACAAATACTCTAGTTTACTTAGCAGATTTATGACTTATTTTCCATCGCCAGTACACAAGTTTGCCTCTGTTTTTTTTCTCATGTCACGTTGGAATGTGCTGGAAAATATTACAGTGGTTACTTCTGCATGTCTTGTACTTCAGTCTATCTTTCACTCACACTGACGAATCAGGAGAAGCTCTCACCTCACTCTCATGTCAGTGTTGCATCTTGCACAACACAAAGAACAATATTGCTGTTGCACGTTGACTGGAGACTGTAAAAACAATAAATAATGTTCCTGGCTATTTACATCCATAACCCTGGTGTCATGTTTCCATCACTGTGACTACTGCAGTTATTTGACCCGAGAATGAATGGCTTTTTTCTTCAGTGGGAAAGGGTACAATTGGCAGTTAGTGGGTTGTTTGTGCAGTGTGAAAGGAGCTTTTGAACTGTGCTGGTTGGTAAATAACAACCAGGAAGGAAATGTGGCACAAAGCCATGTCAAACAATGTTTCTTTAAATCACACTTTTCTTTCTCTTATTTGTACAGTAATTTCTCTTTTAGTTTATTAAGAACATTTCCTAAAACTCTCAGAACACTGCGCAATCGAGAGCCAACTTTAAAGTATCCATTAACACTCATGTCATACAATAACCAGATCCTCTCAGTCACGTGTTCAGAGGTTTTGCATTACCAGTATGCAGCATTCTACCGTAAGTAGCTTACAGTTACAGTGATCTAAAGTACTAAAACTGACAGAAGTGCCAATCTGACTTTAAAGAGTTGGTGCCTGTCTAAATCTATAGTCAGACTGGCACCTTGGAGGTGACAGTCCCTGTCTCCTCTAACAATAAAAAGAAAGGTAACATAAATCTTTAAAGTGCTCAACAAGGAGAAAAAACAGCAACAAAACTCCACAATGAGCAGACTCCTTTATGTGGAGTCAGGGAGCGGTTCAAATAGGAAAATATGGTGATATCAGCAGCAAGAAAAGGAGTCATACCCATTAAGCTTTTTTTTTTTTTTAAAGTAGCACATGTACACATCTTACATCTCAATAAGATCATAGATTGTCCTCATATCACAGCAGTATTCTCTACTCACTTTTTCACATCTTTCTTATATTCATTCATTTGTTTTTCATTTCATGTCACACAGACATCACACAGATACGTATGTTCAATGCGGAGGATTCATTTAATCAGGAACTGTTGTACAAATACACTCCTTAATAATTTCATTCACGTCATAGCTGACATTTGCCATTGCAATCCAAAAACAATCAAAAAATCAAACCTCATTGCTGAGTTAACTAAACATAGTTGTATTCATTCATTTGATTTCTGTGTGAAAATAGCCTGAATTGCATACATACACTGCTGTGAGGCAATGAGCTATGGATGTGAGAATGATTATTTTCTTTTGAAGAGCATAGAACTGACTATAAAAGCTTTCGTCTCAGTAAAGTCAAACGGGGCAATTTGAAGCCATAATTGCACAAAATCTGTATTCAGTTAAATAATACTTACGTTTAATTGCAGCGTTTGAAGCTATAGGCGGGACCTGGGTTCTGACTGACATATCTCAGTGTTAGCTGTCGGAAAAAACCTTTCGGGAAGGTATGTCTGCTTCGTCTCTTGGGGTGTTCTTGACATCTTGAAATCATGCAATTTTGTGCCACATTTATGAGTCTAATGGACTTTTGGGTCTTATGGTTAGGGAGAAATTCAGCCCACCTAAACTTCTCTGACTGCAGTGATGTCCCATGATTCCCTCTTCCTTCCCAACTCCCTTAGTCTCCGATCGCAAGGAGTCTTGACCTTGGCTGTCAGACACACTGCAGAGATGCCATTAAGTAACACTGAACACGCCCCTCCCTCCTCACCACCCATTCTAAAAACCCTTTAACCTTAATCAACCTTTTAATCAATTACCTTGTCTGATTACACTCCCCACACACCTCCCACCTAGCACACCTATCTTTCCTTCTCTCTGTCTCTCTCTCTGCCGCTTGTATTCCCAGGTGGGCTGTACCCGGCAATGTCAGAAGGTGCCTGTAACGATACAGCAGTTTCCTTGAGCCTCGGCCTCTCTAATAGGACAAAGTTTAGTCCCCTAATTAGCCCTTAATGCCATGTCAATTTGAATTAAGAGGGAAGCCAGTTTCAGAAAGAAAAACTAGATGTGGAACTCTAGACAATGCTTGTGTGTGTGAAGGGACACTACTCAACGCTAATCTTAATGAAGAATCAGTGAGCTTTTTTTTTTGTTAAACTTCCCTCCATGAATGAACAGGGGGAAAAAAGGAGAAGAAGAAAAAAAACCCTTATAGGAGCGACTGACATACAGTATTAGATTGGAAATATTAAAGGTCTATTAAATGAATGGCTAGGCCTGACCTTAGTGCTATCATGTGGAGCAGTGCATCACGGCTGGTTGAATAAAGGGTGTGGGAGGAGGGGGATGCTGTATGCATATAAAGAACGTTCCTGCCTCCAATGTGCCCATCATGGCTGATGATACGATGTAGCAAAATATATTGTGTATGCATCATTTATCTTTTTATTCTATCTGTTATCTCCCGGTATGAGGCTGAAGTCACGCTTGCATTAGACTTAAAATACAAGATTAATGTCTTTTCTTTTTTATAGCGACGTTATGGTTGAAAGTTTCAAATGTTCTGTACCTCAGACCACCTCGAATCTAAAGATGTATGTCATCAGAGATGTTGTTAGCCCTACAGTGATTTCAGGACGTACTGAGCACTGCAGTGGATATACCTTTAACTACTGGAGGTCCACTAAAGATTTCCTGCTGCCATTAGTCATTAAAGTCATGGAGGTATTGTTATTGTAACATTAATATGTGTCAAATATTAATATTATTAATATTAATATTACTATATAGCATTTGCACGCATCATATGTGCTTACTTCAAAATCCTATATAATATGTCATTCTTGCACAGTACAGCTCATTCTCAGCTTTCAGTTGGTAAATGCTTCCTGGGAAACTGGGTTTGGTGGTGGTTGCAGATTGCTAATGTAATGTATGTTTATATGAAAAAGAAAAAGAGAAAAGAGTAGAGTGGGGTAGTATATTACGTATAGCTACCACAGTTTCGTATCATATCGAGCTATCTCTAGCCATTTTGCCCAACTCTAGCTCGGAAGTAGCATGGCAGAATTCAACTCTTGGTGTATTTTGTGAACATGATCATGAAGTGGAACGCACAGGACTCACTGTAAATCTGGGAGAGCAAAGCGGAAACCGCCTTTCACGGCGCCTCAACAGCTCAAATGAATTCGATGGTGTGCACAGTTTCACATCATTATTTAATCCATCAAGTGGCTTTAACAGATATACCTATGTGACAGGAATGCAGCAAAAGTGTGATCCTGCTTACATTCCTTTTCTCCAGTGGGAAGGTGTTTGTAAAAATCACATTTTAAATCAAGAAACCCACAGTGCTAACTTTCTGATGTACCTGATACACCTTCTCTTGGTTCAAGTAGTGTCAGCGCTCACAATGTATCTTCACATATCACTGACGCATGTGTGGATCTGTCTCATCTATCAGGTGTATGAGTAATTAACAGCGTCTGTGGGAGAGGGTGAGTAGGCTGGCTAAAAATAAGTACTCACTCCTGAAACTTTCTCTTTTCCTGAGTTGGAAGAACTGGAAGCACTTTTACTGTACTTTCCTATCAACAATCTGCACTTAAATTGGATTGTGGAGTTCAGCATGAATCTCTTAAAAAAAAACAAAAAAAACTTTTGACTCCAGTTTGAGCACACAGATTTACATTCTCTTGTGTTTGTGTGTGTCTGTCTCTTGCAGCACGGTAACGTCGGCAGTGTTCACGGTGGGTGACAATGTGGTTTCCGGCAGTGACGACCGCACTGTCAAGGTGTGGGATTTGAAGAACATGAGGTCGCCTATAGCAACCATCCGCACTGACTCAGCTGTGAACAGGTATGTGAAAGAAGGGACGTAACTCAATCAGAGCCAGACTCAGTATTTTTACATCTTTGTAGAGAGTTACGCTCCGTGCAGAATCTGAGAATGAAGTTAAAGTGTGCTTATTACAGATGGGGGTGTCCTGATCAAGTTTTTTAAGCCCCAGATTTGGGCGAGTCATTTAATATCGACTGATTACTTCATCTGACTTGATTCTTGAGTGATAATTTGGATTCCACGTGCATAGTTATGAATACTGTATATTCTTATAGTGCTGTGTGATGGTGTTGCATCATGGATGAATCACGACACAATGGGCCCTTGGCTTCAGAAATGCAAAAGAAAAAATGGCAGCAATTTACGAGCTGAAGGGAGAGCGAGCACTTCAATTATCTTGGAAACTGAAGTTTAGAGTATGTGGACGAAACTCCAGCTATGTATTATACAGAGCCAGGCGGATAAAACGGGGTCATGCTTCAAAGGCACGTCATTTGTATAGGGGCAAGTAAAAATTGAGTACAATTGTGGAGAACATTTAGCATTGAACCCTGCCCCAAAACGCCTGCACGTGGTGCAAAAATGTGCCTGAGATATTTCTGTAAATCTAGTGCTGAACTATACACTATGCAGTAACTTCTCTTACCAATTCATTTAAAAAGCGACAGGCTGTAGATTGAAACTCCAGGAGAGTTTACTTAGCAGTATCAACAGAATCTGTCCCAGATTCAAAGTGAACTTGATCCGATCTTTCAGGATAAGCGTCTCTGCCAACCAGAGGATCATCGCTCTGCCACACGACAACCGCCAAGTCCGACTGTTTGACATGAGCGGAGTGAGGCTGGCCAGACTCCCTCGCAGCAACAGAATGGTAAGGACGGGAATGACGTGTGTGTTTGCCCTGTCAATCAGCATCGTTAAAACATCTTAAACGTGTGTGTGTGTGCGTGTGTGTATGGATCAATATCAAGACACAGTCACTGTTTTTTTT